TTATGCCAGTCTATATGAAATTCAGAGGGGACATTAAGTGTTGATGAAAAATTAGCGAATTTTCATGAAATACTAAAAGAAAACCTTAAAATTTGAACATTTTGGGAGAGGTGCTAGGATGTTGAGAAGGGGAGCACCCATGATCCATTGCTTGGGGAGAGCCCTGCTTGAAAAGTATCAGAAGGTTGACCCCTCTGAATATGCAAAATTACCTCAAAGACATCCTGCCAGACACCCTGTCACGAATCTTGATAGGAATATGTAAGTTACTAGAAGTCATTGATTTTCAAAGAGGGTACGAGAGGATTATCATTATGGATGGTCGTGACGTAAAGCGGACCACGCAAATCGCGTAGGCGCACGTGAATCACGTAGAGTCCAGGAGATTCGTACACATCACACTGGGCTCAAAATACTGGGTACATGTGCACCTTAGTGCACCAAAATATGTACCTATAGCATATTCTTAAATTCTAAGTGTCAGAAAAATAATAAAATAATTGTAGCAGTTCTTTTCTGTAGAAATGAAACACAGTTTTTGCTAACATTCTACTTATTTTATTTTATATGGTGCACCTAAAATATTTCTGTGCACCCAAATTTTTTTCGTTTGGGTGTTTTAGTGCACCTATTCCCCAAAAAAGAATTTCGAGTCCTGCATCAATACACATCAATGTCATTTCTGCACCACAAGTCTTTGTGTGTCACATAATCTCTCACTGATGGGCCATACACTTTGAAGTTAGATGATCTGACAAGATATTCTCAATCACAGAACAACCAATAGGAGCTCAAGATTCTTTATCACTTTGACAATCAGTCCAATAGAAGCTCAGTATTCTCTGTCACTACCCTGGTACATGTATATGGAAGGGAAGCTGGAAGCATGATGTGGATTAGTACTAATAGTAGTGTTTTGAAATACAATATAGACCGATGATCTGTCATGCCACAGTTTGCTGTGTTGGTGATGTATTATTAATATTGATCCCCTGCTTTCTGGAAATATGTCAGGTGAAGATAGATGGTGGGTCGGTCATGCAGCTGCAGTGAGATGTGAGAGTGAATACGTCTGTCTTGGTGAATGACTCCATAGTCCATGCCCAAGTCTCATTCGTCAAAGAAGCCCCATAATCCTTCATTACACCCATACCAATTAAATTGTCTTTGTCTCCTACATGTATCTGACTAACAGAGGATTTGCAATTTTTTTCCCATTCCAAAACCTCCAATCAGTGAACAAGAGTACATGATTAGTTTGTTTGTTGTTTGCTAAATAAGGTAGAAAACATTCTTTGCAGGCAGTTCTTTGCAGTGGAATTTCCTCATATAATCCTACATGTACCTGCAATGTATGTATTGAGAACAAATGTTATAATGAGTTACTTTTTTTCAAAAGTTACATGCGCTGCTTGCTCTATTGTTGGGGACACTGACAGGAAGTTAGGTCAAAGGTCCCAGTTAAGGTTATTACATTTCCCGCAAAGGTAGCAGGTTGTTATTCTTGATCAAATATAGGCAGAACACGTCTTCAAATGTGAGTACAGGCTATTAGTTTGTAAACATGAAAAATGAAGGGTACACCGAGACACTCAGTTCTTCCTCAAACAGTCCTTTGTATTGTGTATGCCCTGATCCGCTACAGTCGATGAAGTAAGCTTTAAAAGAAGATCCCCTCTGATTTATTCTCAGCAGCTTCACAGAACCCTGCAAGCTCATTACATTTCCTCGCCTAGGCAGCTTGAAAATTAATTGCCAATCTCGGTATGACTTCAGAGGGAAGGACCAGTACTTTTCTAAGCCTTTATTTTACAAGTTCTTACTGTCAGAGGGAGCTTATTAGTCAGGCAGGCTGCTAGGAGCACGGTTTTTGTCAGGCTAATGGTTTTACAATGTATTAACTTCAAAGAGTCGTAATTGAAAGACACTTCAGGACATTTCCGGCACAGTTGTGTCCTTTATGAATATTGATGCTGATACATGGTTTTCTGGTGTTGTACCAGCAGGATTTTAGTAGTGAAATGGTATTCTCTAACCTCTCACCACATTTATTGATTATATATTATATTAGTACATGTAGTTCAAGACATGGGAAAGCAATGTCACCTTTTTTTTACTCATTACCAGTAAGTTTGAATTATCATAATTAGTCTTTCATAACATCTGTCACCAAAAACATTGAAATACAAGATTCTGTCAGTTCCACAGAATTCAAGAATTTTTTTTTTACAAGAAATCAGGGATTTGAAACCTCTGGGATACAAACCTTGTGAAAAATAAGCCCTAAGTGTGTCCCCCAGTGTGTGTGTGGGTGGGCCACTTATAAATTACAAGTAGACTGCCAACTTGACCTGAAGTTCAATGATTCTTTCACTGATTCACTGTTGTAACATGATTCAGTAGGAAAGAACACCATTTGTACATGTAGAATGGTATCTGTCCTTGGTGCTGAAATGGTTATCGTGAAAGCACCAAGGAGAAATATGCACAGAGAGCTTAGACTGTGCTTCACTGTCAGGGACTGATTGGGCCTCCTGCCCACAAGCTTGTGGCAGGCTAAGTCTAAAACATTTCTTCATCGCTTAGGCCTCAACAATTTGATTTGTCGGTTCTAATTTGTTTGCATGAAATCAATGAAGCAGGTAAGAATACAGGCCTAGGCATCCTGTGATAGTCCCAAATTAAGAGCTTAAAGTCAACATACTAGCTATAGGCTAGTTGAAGCAATGAATTTTGATACCTAAATCAAATAACTGCATTGATAAATGGAAAATCTGTACTGACTTAGTCTAGGAAGACAAGAACTTTCTTCAACTTTTGGTGCCGAAATATGAGCATTTTATGGACATTTTGAAGCCTAATGGTGCATTTGTACATTATGTAGTTTTCCAGATCAAAAATATGAAGTGGATGATTCTGAGAACCAAGAGAATTACTACTAGTTGGTGTGGCCTTCTGTATCTGTATCTGTATCTGTATAGCCGGTATAACCGCCTTTCGGCGTAACACACCAGCTTCGCAGGCACGCGGCGCGGCGGCAGCTGGCTATATTACACCGATCGACCGGCCTTATTTTGTAAGCTGGAAGTCAAGATTATATAGAAAAAAATGTACCTACATTGCTTTGTTGAATTCAAATAGTTTGGTTATGTACAACACTGCAAAATCTGAGGATACGATTCCGCTGTACCATTTTATTTTGGGGAGTTTGGTTTAAAAATTGATCTACAAGTATTTTCAGTGTGCACCAGAGACCCTTCAATGAAAAGCATGACCGATTCATTTGATTGGGAACTATTTTGATATGGTAATGTCACACACTTGTGGATATGCTTATCACTCCATAACATTAGCATTTTAGACTACCTCTACATGAATTGGATATTTAGTTAGGTAGCTTTGAGGTTCAACATTTTGGTTGGTAAGCCAGGATTCAAACTCACAATGATAACGTGATGCATAAGAAGCAAGATTGCTAAAATAGGACCAAGGAGTATGATTAGAGCAGTAGATGAAATAGTTTGCTGAGGAGAACTGTATATGCCAATGATTCTCATTGAGGTCTATCAATGTAGCATCAGGCAAGGACAATCAGTGTATATATATACAAAAGAAATATACAAAAGAATAGGTACAGTACCATGAAAATTATTTAGGTACATGTCCAAAATACTGGAACGTCAATGTACCTGTACTGTACTATATGTTTCTCAATGATTACTTATTTGTAAGTAAAGCACGCTACATAGTAAATGTTGGACATGGTTGCACTGCATTGAACCATCTGTACTGACAAGCGTAACTTTTATAAACCTAATTTAGGCTTCTATATTGCTGTTTCAGGTGTAATTTGCAGTCAAATGGCTATGAAGCATTCCATGTTTCAGACAGTTAAACATGGTGCAGTTATTATTAGAGGTGACAAATGATGTATCACACCTGGACTAGCACCTGTCAGCTTATTTAGGCTGTGGTGAGATATATTCATGTTGCTAATGCTCATCTAGACTGATCCACACTGCCTATCACAATTGAATTAGCAGTTCAACCAATCATAGCATGGCAATTGGTGGTTTGTCCAATGAAAGAGTGGAAACATATCTGTCAAGTATTTGTATTTTTAATGTTTTTATATTTTTTCATGTCTACATTTTGGCAGAGGTGGGTGGGACTATAGGAACGGTCCATTTACATGTAGCTGGTTACTTGTAATACTATGGCAGCTCTATTGCCCAATAGAGCAATCCTGACTGTCCGCCACAATTAGCGGTTTGACCAATGATAGCATGGCAATTAGCAGTTTAGCCAATGAGAGAGTAGATGCACGCCTGTCAGATATTCACATGTTTTTATTTCGTCTATTCATGATCAGCTGCTTAACACCAAGGAGCTTAAAATCACTGGTGCTTGTATAACCCAATCATCAAACCTTCCTCTTTCAAACTGTCCTTATATGCCCCAAGATTGATGGCAGCTCAGTAGATTTCTAGACTTGTTTTTCAGCACATAATTTTCAAATCTTATGGAGTATGAGGTATATCTGTGTGTGCTCTGGTGTGCCAGCAGTATTCCTAATATGGACATGTGGCAAATTGAACGCGACCTTGTTAGGCTGAACGTAACGTGCTGTTACGTGCGCACAAGCGAGTAATGGTGTCGACTCGGTAATAAAAGTTTGATGACTGCATTATGTTCAACAAGTGAAGAGAGGATATGGTGGTATTACCTTGTTTAGGGTTTCACAGGGACTGCAAATTAGAAGATAATGATTTCAAGAGAACTTGATTGATTCTCTTTTCTGATGTCTTCTGTTCACCTTTTCACGTCAAGAAAACAACAAGAATAGATAACTCAAAGTCAGTCAAAGTTTTAAAGGGTACAGCGCGAGGCAAACTGTTGTATGAGACTACCAGCCAATTACATTAATCTAGTACATTCTACTATTAAATTCGAAGCTACCGGTAATAGTATATACACTTGTACTATTGGTATAAAACACAATGAGCAGTTGTAAGTGTACTATACAGCTACATGTGTTCACTTGATACTCTTAAGTCATTGTTTTACAAATCTTTTTTGTATGGATTTTGATATATGTATATTGTATTGGCCTGGATAGATAATTGTTGTTGTAATGGTTTATGTGTAATGGTTTATATTTGTCGTGTCTTGGTGCCTGCCCTTGTTTGACCAGACTGTTGTCATTCTCCTGCTAGGTTCTGCTGGATCAGGTAAAAGTACCTTTAGTAAACAGCTGCGTGTCCTGTACGGGGATGGCTTTCCGGAGGCGGAGAGGGTCAAGCTACGGCCAAACGTGTACAGCAACGTCCGGGTGGCCATCAAGCGTCTGGTACGGGCTATGGAGAAACTAGGAATCCAGTTTGAGAAGGAAGAGTCAAAGGTTTGCTTCATCTTTCTGCTGATGTTTATTTAGAATCTATAGTATTGTATCTGGTACCCATTGGTCAGTCACCTGTGATTTTGGTTGTTCATTCATGTTACATGACTGTCAATTTGAAATAGTCTGCAAGAGACTTATCCAATAGCCCTATACTAGAGCTGTGTACCGGTACCCAGTACCGGTACTGTACCTAAACAATTTCACACCAATTTTATGCCTATTTGTGACCTCAAATGTTTAAATAGCTGGTTAACAATGGGTGCCTGTGTAAGGACAGTGTGTTCATGAAAACAAAAACATCTTAGTTTTGCCTATATTTTATCTGAGCATTCGCCATAAACAAAGAATAAACCTTAACTATCAAGTTTATTTATGTTTTTTTGTTATTGAAGGAGTTCAGAAGAGCATATAAATTGGTCGAATTGTTCAGGTACAGGTTCAGGTCCGGACCTGTACCTAAACCTGTGTACCTGTACCTGTACCTGTATCTAAAATTTGTTTAGGTACACAGCTCTACCCTATACCCACCTCCATCAAATTGTAGAAATGTGAAAAAAAATCTAAACGTTAGTTTGATGACTAATAGCCAATCTCTCATTGGTCCAACTGCTAATTGTCATGCCATCATTGGTTGAGCTACTAATTGTGATAGACAATCAGGATCAGTCTATTGAGAAAACATATTCATGTCAACTTGAGTTACCATGCCTGTTTCACTTTGATATGCCAAAGGTTAGACATCCAGGTTACGAAGTACGCAAGGAATTGTTACTCTAGCAATTGGATAGATTTTGAAAACTGTCAGAATTATTTCAAGTAGCATCCACTACTTTTCATCAGTAATTAATGGATTCTATAGTTCAGCTGTAGATTCCAATAGTTACTAACACTAGTAGTAACAGAATCTGTAGTTGAGTAACAATTCCTTGTTGATGTTCTTGCTGAATTCATTCCAAAATTAAAATAGAAATTGCCGACCGAGAGGTAAATTTCCTGATGTGTGGTGATGCTGTGTTGGAAATTACAATCATCAGGTAGATTAAGTTTTCCTGCCATTCCACCACCAGTGATTGAATTGAAGGCCTGTTATTGTTGGCAAACCAAATGGATGTGTATTGGTCGTTCAGTCTAAATGGAAATGTTTCTATTTGGAAATGTAACGGCCCCTTTCCACTAGATGTTGATGGCTGAGGGATTAAAATTAGATTTATGTAAGCCTTGATTTCATAATTGGAATATTATGCAAGATGTGAAAATATGATTTAAAAGACAGCAAAATGCACTAGGCCACACCAATTTAATTTGTTGGTTCTCGGATTCGCCTCTTCGTTTTTTTCTGATTTGCAAAAAAAAAAAATTTGATTCTGGTCCTGAATCAACTCAAAACTGCTCAAATTTTGCCCCCAACAGTTGAGGAAAGTCCTTTTCTTCCTAGTTGTTACAGTTTTCCCATCTATCATTGCAGTGGTTTGATTAAAAGTTCAAAATTCAATGTTTAAATTTTAACCCAGCCTTTTGTGTTGACTTCATGGCTCATTTTGTAGCATTTAAGCCTATAATAGGATGCCTAAACCTGTTTTTATTTTATTTTTTTCGCCCTGTCGCTTCATATTTTTTCTGAAAAAATCCGAGAACCAACAAATTAAATTGGTGTGGCCCTAAATGTAAAAAAAATCATTCTTCATCTATGAAATTCACTGGGGATCTGTTAAATCCTTTGTTGTTCAGCAGTCATAGCTTCTACTGGAAAAGGCCAGAATGTAATATAACTTAAAGGCAAATTCTATAGACTTGGTTAAGGGTACTTGATTGATGCCATTTGTCATTTCTTGTGGCAGATGCTATTGATAGTTCACTCTTAACAGCCACAGATATGTATCTACCAGTAGATGAGACTGTGTTCTGAATATAAATGATATCATTTATCGTTGCCATCTGTAATGTATATTGAAAAGCAGACGTTATATTTTCAACCCAGTAGTGACCGTTTGTGCAATTAAGCAGGAGAGGTTGAAAGGGGGTCATTGTGAAGACTATTTTTGTTTCCGTCCAAATGAATTATATAAAAACATTGCAGCAACCATGCATATTAGTAGAGGTTATATAGGGGCAGTGTCATTACAAAGAATAGGGATGGATTTTGTAGCCACCAATGGCATTAACATTTGCCCTACAAGAGCTTTACCAATTTGAAACTTGTTAATTAAAGATACTGCATTCACTTTCACTGTGGTTTCGTATAAGACGTTTGCAGTGTTTGATAACTTTTAAGTTCACTGTTAAAACAATTCATTACCATAGAATAATAGAAATATACGAAATATATTATTCTTTTTAGGGCACATGATTTTGCCCTAACTGTGTGAATAAAACCACAGTGAAAGTGGATTTACAGTAGTTGACAATATGAATGACGTGCTCATAAAAAAATTGCATGTTCATTTTTACAAATAGGGTACCCCTCCCTTCCTTTCTTCCCTAATATCACAAAATCTTTAGGAGGCCCCAATGGTGTGGTTCTGTTACTGCACCCCTGTTTGTGCCTCCATGGTACAATTGTAGATGTTTAGTGGTGCTAAGTGGCTATTAGGGAGAGTTTAATCTTGGATTCATTGATAGTCTTGGGTTAAGTCCAACTGTTGAACTTTCGACCTGGTCGCTTGGCAGCCAACCCAACATGACCTCTGTGGGTAGGCAGGCCATACAGATGAGGTCAGTCTTAAAGCGATATTATGTAAAACTTTCACTATTTTAAACATCGTTGTTTTACTCATTTTCTTGTGCTATAAGCCTACCTGGGTTCATAAGGACATTTTGAAACGTGTTGAAAACTGCTGAAGATGCCTGAATGATAACCGCTGTTTGTTTACATTCTTTTTAGGAGCCTCCTAAAAAGTACAGCGGGCTTGGCGCAACTTATACTCGCACTGCACTGAGTCGCTGGAAAAGCAAAATAGCGATGTTAATATGTTGAAAGTTATTGAAAATGACAATCTAGATGAGAAAATTTCAATTATAATGTATTTATAATATTTTTAATTTTTGGCGTAAAATTCTTACATAATATCGCTTTAATCTTACCTGAAGTCTGACTCAACATGTGTAAGTGTAACTGTAAGGCCACCTTTCCACAAAATGGTGATTGCTGAGTGATCAAAATTGGATTTGTGTACATGTTTTGTTGATTTTATAATTTGAATACTTTAAGAGACAACAGATTTACTGAAAACTGTAGAGAAATTTGTTATCTATGTATTGAAATTTTTTGAGTGATTTGTGATCTATTTAGTTGCAGATTGGTTGCTCAGCAGTCACGGCCTCTAGTCTAAAGGGAACATGAGGTTTAAAGTCCATGCTTCTTAGAACATTATATTGTTAAACAGAAGTTTGTTTCCCAGGCCATTACTTACTAGTAATTTTTTTCAGAGAATAGGCTAGCAAATTATCCCAAGTCATTTATAAGTTATAACAGTGATCATGCAACAACAGTGACTTTTACAAGGACAAAGGGATATCAAGAGTTCTGTAGGTACAAAGAAATCTGTCAGATAGGAATATTTGTATTTTTATCATCTAAATCTCAAGCAAAGATGGTAGTATGAAAGGTAATTATTCAACTTGTTAACAAGAGAGGGTAGTGTAGGAATAATCTTAAAATGCTCTGTAACCATTAGAAACATTTGTTGTTATCTGTGGTTTTTCTTGATGTTCACTCTGGGTTGGTTTGTTTGGTGCTCTAGCAGAATTCTCTCTGCTTTCTGGCTGGTGTCTTCAGACGTGAATGCTGGAACGCGGCCCTTGGCTTGGCAAGATGCTGTCTCCGGGGTCTGCAGTGGCTGGACCCTGAGATGGGCGATGATTCGCAGGTAGGCGACATTCCCCACGTTGTCCGGCTGCTTTTATCTCTGGGACGAGCGCCGTCGTCTTCTATCCGAGGAGAAGTCGTCATTGAAGTTAGACTGTCAGTCCTTTTGAGGTAGTGATGGTGGTGAAAGTGGTGGTGGTGGTGTGGTTGTTCCCACTGTTAGATGAAATGCACTCTCCCAGAAACTCAGTTTTCTCGTACAAGATAAATCAGCTGCACTGTCCAGTATAACCACCTCTGGGGCCTGATTGCACGTCACTAGGACAGTTGTGTTGCTGAGTCGTTTAAAATTTGCCTTCCCTATAGCTGATTCCTTCTGTCTACAATGCTATGTTCGTTGTTAAAATCTATTATTTTGCATGTAATCCAGCTTCCCTGTTGATTTCCTTGCTATATGCAGAACCACTCAGGAGGCCTGCCTTCTTGATACATCACCTGACCCCCTCTCTGCAGACATGGCACCCTGCAGCATCCTCCAGCAACGCAGCCTCTTCACTACAGTCATGTGAGGACAGCCTACCTCACAGCACCTACCTTACACAGTTACTGCTCTCTCTGCTGGTAGTTTAGTGTGGGGGTCTCTCATCTTCTGCTTACTTTAGCTCCTCATGGCTCTCTCTCTCTTTCTCTCTCTCTCTCTCTCTCTCGGTGTGATCATTATACGTTGTGTAATCATCACATCATCGCAAACTGAATGCATTTCCCGGATAATCGTGCATGTGTTTTGCAAAATTCTGCTGCCTTGTCCAGGGAAAAGGCGGTCTAAGATCCTTGTCAGCAGTTGGTTCTGTCACATCCTGCCTGAAAATTCTACAGCATCAAGCTCGTATGATGACTTACAAAGAATGAGGCCATGCAGTTTTATCTACACCAACAGTGCTCAGCTCTATTGCCCACAATGACTAGATCATGGTTACCAAATAGGACAACAACTGCTTGTTACCCCATTCCTGTTGGAATAGAGGTGTCTCCTGGTGTCTTGTTTTTTAGTATGGCAGAGGGCAAGTCTTGAGAGCAGTTTCAGTTCCAAAACTCTCTGGCATGACTGTTGAATCTTTACCCTGGACTCTTGTAATGGTAGCTTTGATGGACTGGTGTCCCCAGGAGGAGTCTTATGTCCTCAACTGCATCGTTCTCCAGAAAGTGGGATAAAGCTACGGCCTCGTGGGTCAGTCCAGCCTTGGAATGCCTGGCAATCAGTTCTACTTCACTGGATGTTCCTCTGGTGTCATTAGCCTGGTTTGCACAGTTATGCCTGTCTCGTGGGCAGAATTGATGATCATTTCAACCCAGCTGTGTGACTAACCTTTCTTCCCATTGATCCATCAAACCCCGGAGAAGCTGTGTTTCTCTTGCTCTCAAGGTAATCCTGTGATTCTTCATGTGACAAAAACTACTTCTACCTCGGGACACCTTTCACCTCGGAGGAGAACTGCAGCCTAATGATGGATGGTGTCATATGCCTGCTGTGATGGACTACGGACATGGAGAGGTTCTAGAAGATGATTTTGAGAAGTCTGAAATTTTCATATTAAAATTTACAATCATTATGTAGGGTGAAAACTGGAAATTGGCTTGGGCCATTGTGATATGATGTTTTTCTTCCAAGTAGTTGTTCTTAGAAATACATTTTTGATATGACCAAACAACTAACTGAACCTCTTCTTTCCACACACTTATAGAATGTCTTCCTTCCAAGGTAGAGGCTGACCAGGAAGAACAAGGAATATTAAAAAAGGAGAACAAAAGAAATATTTGTACAAACTCAACGTACTGGAAATTACTTTTGTGGCTAGAACTATCTTCCTCCTTTCCTGGTCTGACACCACCTTTTCCGTATATTTACTTCCCGTGTTCACAGGTATCGTTTTAGGTGGCTAGGATTGTGTATCTGTTTGTCCAGACAGAGCAGGTTGACTGCAAATTGGGTGGGGAAGATTGACGGGCAAAATGACAGGAGGTCAAAGATCTCAAAATCTGACTGGAGAGCCAACAGGAATTAGAGGGAATGAGAGAATTCAGGAAGTCTAAAATCTATCTGCTTTCTTGTGTCAGGGAGAAGAAGTTGGATATTTTTATGTCATGATACAGAAATGTAATTTTCACACTTTGATGTGATTTGTTCTCCAGGATCTCTCAGAAAACCTAGTGAGCGTGGAAAATGGGCAACACTGTTATGAGCTGTGCGCGGACGACAAGCTGAGTTTGGAAGAGACGGTGGCAATCCGGGCACTGTGGCAAGACAAGGGGGTACAGGACGCCTGGGAACAGAGACATCTGTACCACCTGGCAGAGTCAGCCAAATAGTCAGTAACTGTCCTTCTGATTTTACACTTAGAGGTTCTGCGTAACACTGTTGAATCTTTGTGACCACATTTACATTTGTGTAGGGGTTAACGTTGCTCACCTATGTCAAGACTGAAAACTTGACATGCACACATAGACATAAACACATATACACACACACATGCACACACACACACACACACACACACACACACACACACACACATACACAAGCACACATATACATACATACATACTGTACATACATACTATTAGTATTACTCACATTTATACAAACACATACAAAATGTGTATTACACACTCACACATAGACATACATGTAACCACACACAAACACACATAAATACTTAATTGTTCAAATTCAAGGGATTATGAGAGGATAATGATATGGGCACCTTGGATCGAGGGATTCGAGGAAGCTAACTAAAATAAGGTATCCCAAACATTTAAAATTCAACCAGGCCTGTGATATAGTCCATTTAAACACAGCACATGATACTCCGTCAAGTCAGATGTATGAGGACAGAATAACAATGTTATGATGAAATTTTGATTGGTAATTATTTATTCTATATACACCTAAAATGACTGCATTATGTATGCAACTGTCTGAAACATTTTCCAATGGGAAAAAATAGCGTTAACCTTGAAAACATGTTACATAAAGGTGCCTAGAGGTCAAGAGGTTCACGTGGTATGTCAGTCCTTGAGATGTTCTCAATATTGATGTGTTAAGTGGTACTTGTAGTTCTGCTATTAGGGTTGTCGCTAGTGCATTTTAGCATTACGGGCCATCATGCTATTATTTGCAACCACCACACTAAACCATTATGTGTATTTAGCTATAATATAGCCAGTGTAATGGTACTGTGCTTGTATTTACGTGAATATATGTAAGTTATGATGTACAGTTCAAATGAGGACAATGTTGGTATGATGACCCTCCAAGCTGACCAAAAAAAAAAGTTTCTTTTCAAATAAATGAACAAAAAGCATGGCAAATTTATAACGGATACATTCTGATTACATATTAGAAAATGAATAATGTCCCCTCTTGTCCCTTCCATAATTATTCGAAAATAGAAATCTGGTCAAAACCCGGCCGGGCTATCAATTCAACAAGTGGTTGCAAAGAGGGTCAGTGATTATTCTGGGTGAATAAAAGTGGCCTTCTCTTCAACCTGTTGTATTTGTGATTGGATAATTTACAAAAAATATTCTAGATGTGACCAGAAATTTTTTCACTGGTGTAGCCCCCAACTTCATATGGATTTTTAGATTGTGTGGTGTGTTGTTGACTGAAAAATTTTCTGGAACGCACCATGTTTGTTTGTTTTTATTATGATCCCCATTAGTGCTTAAGCACTATTCTTCCTGGGGTCAACATAACGTAATAAAATGAAACATAGCAAAACTTATACAAATGATATATGGAGATTACAAAATAATAAGGTAAATTCAAAATTAATAGGAGAGGTCAGAGGTCAACAAAGAAAAACACAAAATAATTGAATTTTTATGTTTCCCTGACAGTTTCCTGGACAACATTGACCAGATCTCCACCGAGACGTACATCCCTTCTGTGCAAGACATCCTGTATATCAGATTACCCACCACTGCTATTGAGGAGCATGAATTTTCTGTCAATGGACTAACATACAGGTTGGTATTATACTACTTAGTGTATACAGAATATAGAGAGAGATTGTAATGTATAAGGTACATGTAAATAGTAGAGCTAGGACAAGAGAGTGGCTGAAACAGCAGTAGAAATGGAGTATGGATCGGAGATGTCAGATTGGTCAAAGCAACTTCAATGAACTTACATGTATCATAGATATAACAATGATAAATACAATATTCTATAAACTGCATTATGAAATATACATTGAGCTATGTTGTAGTTTTGAGGCAGTGGAAGACATATTTACTTCTTCTGTGATATGTGGGTTCTTTGATTTTAATAGTAGAAGTGTTTTCTTTGACTTTATTGAGATTGCAAGAAGAAATGATATGGAATCTAAATTTATATTTCACTCATAACAGCTGGGGAAGGTGTTACATGGAAGAGACCATTTTGCGATTGGGTCAAATTGGAAAAATTCTATTTTGGAGTGTGGTAATGTTGGGATAGTCCACAGTCCAGTTTTCGAGGGAGAGTGTGTGAAATATGCTGTATTTGTTCACAAATGTTGAATTCTATGGTCTCCCGGGCATTTTTAACAGCATCTTAAAACTTGTCTGCTAAGGGGGACCACTGCTTCGTGACAACCTTACTTTTCCAAACTTTGCCATACATGTATGTGCAAAGTTGCATGCATTATATATAAATATGAAGCAAATGGTAATATTGGCCAGACACCAAGTCTACGTCTGCAGACAAATTTAAGTGATTCTCAGACAAAGTTGAGTAAGCACCTATAGCTACAGACGCGACGTTCTGTCACTATCAGTCACTCCTGTCATGTACATTAGTCCCTGGGGACACTTCCATTGTGGAAGCCTTCGTTTCCACAACTGCTATTCTCCTACTAAATATCATGAAGATCCATCCACAGCTTCTTGAGTTAGAGATGAGATAAGTTTCACTTTGACTCGCCACATTAAGGGACATCATACAAGGGAACAGATGTGATTTAATTTATCTCCAGCAGTCTCTGGATGTTTTGGTTTCAAAGTAGCATCTGTTACAGAATTTCTTACAATGCTCTGAGTTTTAATGTATTAAAACAGACACCATGTCCCTCCCTTAGGTGACCCATTATGCAGAACTGTTATTTGCTACAGTAACCAGTGCTCTATTTGGTTCCAGGGTTAGGCAGCAGGGAGGAGGTTGATACTCCTGACATTGACACCTTATATAAGCTGGGGCTGCCAGCAAATTGAATTCCAGGATTTCATTTGAGTATGCTAAAGATAGCTTTCAAGCCAAGTGCCACTAATTAGGTTGTGTAGAGGGTTCAAATTGAAGTGGGAGAGAATTGTGGGACACTACCCTTTAGGGTGTTGTGTTTTTTGACCTCTGACTAATTACTTCCTGGTAGAGAAGTGATGTGGCTGAGCTGTGGATTTGTGTGCCAGTTTGTCCGACAGAGTAGGTTGACAGCACGTGGGTGGGGGAGATTTACACGCAGAATAAAGGTCTCTGCAATTGGCCAGGAGCCAGGAATTGGAAGCTGACACAGGGAAATTCAGGAAGCGGAGGGTTGTGTACTTCTCGGATGTCTGAAATTTATAATTTCTTGTGGTAAAAGGTGATATTGTTTCCACGTAGGTTATCAAATTTCTGAAGTAATACTTTTATTATCAAGTTTAAGTGGACTGTCTCCCCTATTTCACAGAGTGATTGATGTAGCAGGCCAGAAGAGTCAACGGAAGAAGTGGATCCATTTCTTTGAGGGAGTGACAGCTGTTCTGTTCTTCACTGCCCTGAGTGGTTTCAATGAGCTCATGGACGATGATGACAAAGTGGTAAGACTGGAACTGAAAGCGTCTTACGTAAATGCACATAGACAAGCGGTTAGTGACCCTGTCTCTGGAATTAGAGGCCGTGAGTTACAAATTACAATGTATAGTCACTGTGTCACTCACCTGACATGCATTTTACTGGAAACAGCTATCACATGTGAGTCACTCTCATTTAGAACATTTCATTCACGCTCATCCATAGATTGCATGGCTGAAATTGGGGGTATTCTTTACATAGTCGTGCATGTGTCCTGCAAAATTACGGTAGCACAGAAAAGGCTTTTCTTATGCCCTTGTCCGTGGTTGATTGTGTCCCAGTCTGCTTGAAAATTCTAGGCCATCATCATTGGAAGAATGTGACCACACCGTTAATTCGGAGCCTCCTCTCTTTGCAGAACTGTTTGCACGACAGCCTGGACCTGTTCCGTGACCTGGCCTACAACAAGTGGCTGGAGCAGACAGACTTCATCCTGTTCCTGAACAAGCATGACCTTTTCGTGGAGAAACTCAAGACAACCAGTATCAAAAGCTGCTTCCCACACTATGATGGTACTGCACAATCATACATGTATCACAGTAAACACTAGGGGTCGTGGGTGGGGTTTTGTGTGTGAAAATTAGCAAGAAAATTGTAACTCCTTAGATGGCTAACAAAAGTTGCTGACACTGCAGTTGGCAAGGAAATGTTTTTTTTTTTACAAAATTTTACAAAGCCATTACACTGTTGCATGGCTCAAATTTCATTTTTTTGGAATAGATGCAATGGTGGACCTAACCAAAAGGTGCACATGTGTTGTATTAGCTCAGCAGATGAGCTCGCTCAGAGGTGACAGTAGAATAGACCAATCCTAAATGTCAATCACAGTTACCAATTCAACCAATGATAGCCAGGCAATCAGAGGTTCCACCAATGAGAAGATGGGTGCATGTCTGTCAAATATTTGCATTTCTATTTAGACTTAGATGGGAATTGCTATAGAATTGGCCGATTACTGCCTACTTTGCATATTATAAACCTCCGTTCTTTTTCTCCGGAAGGTCCCAACACGCCGGAAGACTGTACGGACTTCATCCAAGGGGAATTCCTGAAGAGAAAACCTGTGAAGAAGACCGTCTATCCTCACATAACCTGTGCCACGGACACCAACCTCATGAAGACCATCATCAGTGATGTGCACAACATTATCGTAGATATCAACCTGCGCAGGGTTGCCCTGCTGTGATTCCTGAGAACTCTGTGTATTGTTGCAACTGTGTTGGGGATGGGGCTTGTAGGGAAGGGGTTGTACTTCCGCTTGTCCAGAGTTTTGTATGTGTAGGTAGTCTTTCTTCTCGAAATGGGACAATGGATTGGGTGCAAAATGATGACAAGGGCAATGTTTGTAACCTTGAACCTTGCTGTGCATATTGTGCAGTTTTGACACTGGAGTCGTCTGTTTGAATGTATCTGACTTTGGGGAATTTTCACTTCAATTTGTAATAAGTTACTACGCCACCCGGCAGCCTTGACAAGTACTGCAGCAGCTGACATAATTGCCATGTAAACTCACTTTGTTTTTTGTTGTTTTTTTACTCCTTTGAAAGATTTAATAGGTCAAAGAGGATGACGTGTGAAAGCCAAAACTGAGGGGGGTCAGAACCAAATGCTTTTCTGAGCTTTGAGACTGAAGATGCCAAAATGAGTGATGAATCAGATGCTTGTTTTTTTTTTTTAAATAACAACCTGCATCCATACATACACACACTGGCACACATAAAGATGCATGCATACATATACATCACACACACACACACACTATTTTGAATAAACAATTGTTTATACTGATTGGAAAATTAAAATTGCAGAGATGAAGTTAACATTGAATTTCTATTTATTATGTATAAGAATAAAAAAGGAAAATAATAATGGAAAGGTACAAAGACTGGACAAATGTTAAATTACCAGTAATAATGATAAGAATGTTTTGAGTGGGGGCCCCCCATTGCCACCGCCGTAACTTAACGAGCATAATAAGTAAGTTATTCGACGTATGTTCCAGTAAAATTGCCCTGTTGTGCATCACAAAACCAGCCCTATACATGTATATCAGTTAGATTAGATCCAGACAAACTCCACTACATGCACTGTTACTGAAATTCTTTTCCTCATTGTCACAGATAGTCTTTGAAACCTAAATCAATATCAGGCAAGAAGATTTTGAGAGCATTTTCCCTAGTAAAGTAAACAAAATCTTGAACTCACATTTTAGCAGTTAAGGTTATAACCTATTTTCAACAAAATGGTAACATCCTGACTGGGTCAAAAATAAATACACAGCTCTAGACCCAGTATGCTTTAATCATTCCAAATTATATGTATATACAGAGAAAATTATAAAGTGCTTATGTACCTAGTATATGCTATGTAAGCCAAAGTGTCCACCTCTGAAAAGAATACAACAAATTGTTTCATTTCCAAGAACTCGGACAAAAGAGTGTGGATAAGCCTTGTATTCCAGTCAAGCTAGAATGCAGATGTGATTGTGTTCAATGTGTCTGATAGAATTAAAATCCTAATTCCTAATGAGGCAGTGACTGTGTCAATGTTGATGCTTGAGGAACTTGTATTCTATTCACATTCTATAAGACATTGTAGTTGTCTTTATAATATGGCAGGTCCTTTGTGCTCATATTTCAAAGGTGGTGAATGATTGCATGAACAGTTGGCTTGTGCCATTTCACAAGGAAGAATGAACATTAGAGATACTTCTCAAATTCAGATGCTGTAACTTGATAGTACCAATCAGAAGCTGTGTTCAGCCTGTCTCTTGTCCATGTCATGTTGCAGTAGTGCCACCTAGTGAAAGCTTTTGGTACTGCACCAATGAGCTCTGAACGAAGATTTTGCAGTAAGTAGTGATGGGATGGGTATAGGGCTTATTCACCACAGATGGTCACGTGACTCTTCCCCCCGGCAGCGAGCATTGTCCGCCATTAGGGGGTGCAGCATGGTGCCTATGGCTATGGTACGCTATGCAAACTCTTGGCGATAGTTGCGCATTTTGGGCCACAATCTACGTTTTGAACACTCTTCTTGTTAGTAACATTGTCCTTGGGGTTGTTCTGGCTCCGTGTCCACGTCTCATGTTCTCAAGATCGGCTTTTATCTTTTTTTGCTGATCAGAAAATCGGTGTGTTTTACCCTGGCGTAGGGGCCTGTAGATCGCCCCCTGTAGATGTCAAGGTGGATAGCCATGGACACGTTAAATCTGTTGAAGCTACCTGTCCCTTTACTCTGTGGTAAATGTCCATGTAGAACAGGGCACTGGCAACTTGTAACACTCACCTTGTCCAGCCACAGTCGCGGCAGTGCGGACTGAGGATGGCGGCCGGCGGCCGATGGCCCCGCATTTGTTTGTTATTATCCAGACACAGTCCGGGGCTGTTCCAAAATAGCGACCTTTTGCGTATCCCGACTACAACGTACTTGTCACCACGCAACTGCATGTCCCACAACACTCTCTACACATCCTGATACAACGCTTCCAGACTCTTAGAGGGTTTGAACCGATGTTGTGTGTAAAAACTTCGGCCCAGTACCAAATACGAAGCTAAGTCGCGTCAAATTTATGGACTCCGCTGGCGGTAGGCGGTCTCGATCAGACTGATCAAAACTCAACAAAAACGGGTCAATCCCAACAGATTTTATTTTGTTCCAGTAACGAGAGGTATGAGTGGTGGTAAACTCTTCGTGTAATAGGACAAAGGACAGTGTACCTAACGTTTGTCGGCCATTTCAATGCTTGGAAACTCGCTGTAGGCGCTGTAGCCCCAAAATGGCGTCGCACGGGACATGAGGGGTCGTGACGTCATGATGACGTGTGGTGAATAAGCTCTATACTTTCTGTATAAACCTTTCTCTGTAAAATGTCTATTGGTAGGAAACTCTTAGTGAAAGTATTTCTTGGGGTGGATGACAATCTTTGATATAATAATGCCACCTACTTGTAAGTTTGTTTCAGCTGTAATGCTAGATGGAGGTGATATGTACAATGTATGTGCCATTGGAAAATACCAATACCTCATTATCTCCTTTGTCCTCTTAAAGACTTCCCCATGCAATGTTTGGCTTCAGAATGACTCTCCAGCAATGACCCGATAGATGCAGAATTCTCCAAGACCTACATGTACCTTACAGTGTAGAACAGTGCTCTCATAATGATTAGCTCTAATATGGCAGACAGTCATACCTAAGCTTTAAGTATTGTGAAGTGGTATGTTTAGCTTATTGTCAAGAAAAGTCTTATTTTATTCCTGTGTAGGTAAAGAATGGTACTGATCTGAAGTGTGGAAGTGCTTGAATGAGTATTACCTGGTAGAAGCATTTTGAGCTTGTGCTAGCAGAGTGGTCTCACACTTGAATCAGTCATGAAGAATCTCATGTAGTTTTAGCCTTATTTTGTCAAGGACTTGTCAGTTCATGTACCTGTAGTGATAGTTGTCTCTTCCTGACCAAAACCAGTTTGATTGCTTGGTTCCCGGATTTTTTTAAGGACAAAAACTATGTGGGCAAGAAAAGCCAAGGTTAGACTAGGTACCCATATTGGGGCAAATCCTTGTCGCATACCTAGTAAATGTACCTGTGTTATTTCGAAATTCCTGATTAACATAAGGTCTATTGACTCAATTACAGCAAACATGTAGCATACGCTATCAAGATCAAAAGTTGTTGATGTTTCTGATTGGCACCTAATCTGCATTGAAACATTGAAAACTGCATTGACTATCGTTTTATCTTCACATGAAGCTTTTGACAGAGAAACTGGAGTCCGAGAACCAATCTATGACGTTGGTGTGATGTTAAAATATTGTTTTCTGCTGATGTTTATTTTTAGATATTTTATTCTGTGATACAAAGTGTGATTCATGATGAAGCAGTGGTATAATATGATGAGTACAGCATGTTGTTCCCCCATGGCCTAATGTAATATTGTACTTGTACATTATGTTATTATATCAGTACTGTGTTGCATTTGTGTCTGATTAGTTAGTGGTTGTTGTTGTTGCATAATTCTTAGAAATTATAGTCATAGATCGTGACCATTTGTTGGTTTATCAGAAGTTAATCGAACTAAATTGGAAGGTCTCGAATGGAAGGAGTGTTAGCTAGTTCAGAGTTTTACTAGGCGTCTGTTTTGCATCTGTTTAAAGCCCTTTTAATAAGCAGTTAACAGCCTCATCACTTGTTGGTATAGTTGTCAACTTCAGCTGGGTCTACACCAGGTGCTATTACACTCTCATTTCTCATGAAAAATATTTTTGATTGAAACACGTCGACATACCATCAGCAGCTCAGACCTTGAAATAGTTTTAACCTCAGCTCAGACCTTGAAATGTTTCAACGAATAGATTTTAACTTGCTGGTACAGATATCATTTATTTACTATGCAGGAATTCAAAACCTTGTTTTGTCATCCATGAGCTTGTCTGGTACTTCCTAGGTTTATGTACCCCACAAAACCTGTCTGCTATTCCTCCTTCCATGAAATGCTATCCCACGCCGCGTTGCATTGCCTAACTTCCAACATACCTCCAACGTCCTGAAAGTTTGTAAACAGACATTTTCAACTGTCTGAATGTTAGGAGTGAAATCCTGTAAGCTGGTTCACGGTTTGAACTGTGCATACACAAGGTCCAAGGTGATGTCCCCTAACTTGTAAACAGTTCTCGTCTAGACCATGCTTAATGCACAGAAATGTTTTGTTCCTCAACTTTGACATGTTACCACAATATATGCATCACATTGCACATGCACTTTTAAGGCCATGAAGCAGCTTACTACACATGTACCTGCATCTTTTCTGACCTGTCTGTCAGGCACTACACAACAAGCCATATATACTTATGTGGCTTTAAGTCATCATTGCACTGTAGCTAAATAAAGTCTTCATCATAAGTTAAAGTTTGTAAGAATGTCCATAACTTCCTTTCATGGTCTGCCTAGTCTGTTGTATCGGCCCTTGTCTGCCGTATCCATCCTCAGTCTTCAAACAATGAGCACACTGCAAATGACATGATCACAATTGACTACATTTTCATCACCATGTGAAGGGGAAAGATGAAGTCACAGTTGTTTTGATATGGCAAAATCTTGAGTCTTTTGAATGTCTTGGAAAGAATCAAAGGGTCCAAAATGTACTTTGTCCCAACTAAAAGAAATGTAAAATAAGACTATTAATCTTTAGAAGTGCTGTTTCATAACAGAATGAGTATACCATGAGTCCATGAAATAGTTTCATTTAATGTCCTTGTTCAGTTTTCTGCATCATTTGTTATTGGAAGGTGTACATGTACAGTGTATGACCCCAGATTTTTGGTCTTAAGATTCCATTTTATCACCCGGAATAATGAATGTGCATAGTTTCAGAATTCTTACTCCAGACATATTAGCATTCTTGTCAGATACAACTACTCCAATGACTCCAATAAGAAGATGCCTAATGCAGTATTTTGTCCGAGTAATACAATATATGAATTAAATATAAAGCCATCAGGAATCTAACTGTGTGTCTCTCAATGTTGATGTCTTTGCAATGCTGTGGGTCCACATGTATTACTAACTGTACACAGTAATAGCACAAGTG